ACATGCCTTCATGATGAAAGTTCTGTCGACATTAGGAATTGATTCAGCATACTTGAAAATAGGAAAGGCTATATTTTGTTGTTTTTAACAAACTCTCAAACGTTTCATTTTGTCAATAAAGACTTGGGCACCAGCTACTGGGGTGAAAGCATCTTCTTGCTCAGAGAGGCAGAGGAAGTACCCAGCTGACCTTCCTCCTCAGCTGATGTCCCAGAAGGGAAAAAAAGACAGTCCATCACTGATGGAAGTCAGGGCAGGAGCCTAGGGGCAGGAATTACTGAGGCGATCTGCTTGTTGGCCCATTCTTTGATTCTGTTCTACAGCCCAGGACACCTTATAAGGATGTGGTACTGCCTATAGTGGGCTGGGCCCCACACCTTCTCAAACTGAACATCCCTCCATTCTACTTCCTGTGTATTTCTCTATTTGTCTCCTGACTTCTTACTCTGTATGATTTTTTTCCTGTGTTCACTTCCTATCAAATGGTTGCTTGCTCTACCTCTAGACTTATGGTTGACTTTATTTAATCCAGTCTTGGATTAAAGGTATGTGCTAGGGATGAGTCACACCACAGCTAGAAACAGGTTATTCCAGTAAACAGCTCAATCTCAGGGTTCACCATATGCTCAAATATCCTGCAATAATATTTTATACAACAAACCCACACTAACACTACAGTAGATGGAGACAAACTGAGCTTTTTCTCTGAAATCAGGAATGAGACAAGGATTTCCACTCTTCTCTTTCATATTCAATACAATGCTCAAAGTCTTAGCTATAGCAATTAGAAAAAGATACAAAAGAGATAAATACAGAAAAAGAAAAAGTAGTACTGTCCTCATTTGCAAATGACATCATTCTTTAAAAGAACCTGTAGACTCTACTAGAAAACTCTTGAATTCAAATAAGTTGAGGACAGAAAATATTTTTAAAAATAGCCTTTATATTTTATTCACCAGTAGTCAATTATCAGAGGAAGAAATTAGGAAAAAAACGTTCATATTAGCTCAGATAGATAGATAGATGTCAAACACATACATTTGTATTATATATGTATGTGCTTGACATAATGTGTGTATATAATATACACATGAGTATATATAACATACATTTGTATTATATATAACTATATGTTATTTGTATATATTATGTATGTATATTATATATACATTTATATATGTATATTATATATGTATATATTATATATGTGTTTGTATTATACATTGTATTTGTATTGTACAACATAAATATATGTTATATATACTCATGTGTATATTATATGCATACATTATGTCAAGCACATACACACACATATATAATATAGATAGATATACATAAGAGCTAGAAATTCATCTAACTAGAGAAGTTCAAGACCTCTACAATGAAAGCCTCAAGACATTTGAAAAAGGAAATCAAAGAAGATGCTAAATTTTGAAAAGAACTTTCATTCTCCTGAATTGGAAGAATTAATATCATGAAAACAGCTATACTACCAAAATTTATATACAGATTTAAGTATAATTCCTATCAAAATTCTGTTGTCATATTTCCCAGCTCTAGAAAAAGCAATATAAGAATTCATAAACTGTTACTAATAAGGAATTACTTTTTGTTTAACAATGACATGATTTTTTTTTAGAATAAAACTAATAATTTTGTGTTTGATGCCTACTTCCAATACTAGTTTTAGAATATAGAACCAGAATAGGATTCAGCAAGCTAGGTTCACTGTTTTTATGTTTAAGAATGGAGAAATTGCTTCCTCTTTTTATAGTGTGTTTGCCATATATGAAAGGATATTGGGATACATCAAACTTGTGCACCATAACCAAAAGAACACCTATAAATCTGTCTAGAGTAACTTAAAAACAAGAACTTTCAGTTCTATTGAAACTTCTGTATTCTTCAATATCCACCATACTAGTAATAGAAGACTTAGACCAAAAACAACTTAGAGATGCAAGGGTTTATTTTGCTTACAGTTCCAGGTCACAGTTTGTCACTGATGGAAGTCAGGGACCTCGAGGCAGGAATAACTGAGGCTGTCTGCTTGTTGACCCATTCTTTGGCTCTGTTGTGTAACTGAAGACATCTTATAAGGGTATGGTACTGCCTGCAGTAGACTGAGCCCTATTACATGAAGTAACAATCAAGACGGTCCCTCATTGATATACCAACAAACAAACCTGATAAAGATAATTATTCAGTTAAGAATTTTTTTTAGGCATTTCTAGGCTGTGTCAGGTTAATAGTTAATATTAAGTAGCACAGATGCTCCCCCTGAATAAACTCTAGGTTTTACTTATTTTTTTATACCTTTTATAGAAGAGATTTGTTAAACTGAAATCTAGCATATTATAGACTATATACCAAGTGTTGTAGCATAGCCTTGATATAGTTGTTTTTCGTGGAAACACAATGGAACTCAATGAGCTGGGCCCAGGCAAGACAAATGAATTTATAAGATATTGGAAAATTAGCTCTTTTGTTTTGTTGGATGTGCAAAAATGTGGTGGTTGCTGCACCATATTAATCTTTCCTAGATCATTATTACTATGTCTTTTCCCCATATATTTATCAAATGGTGATTTGACTTATGACTGTAACTGTTATGCATTATGTTGTTTGACCCTGTAATTATCTTTAACCACATACTTACAGAAGAATCCAAATTAGCGTTACAAATTTTATTTTTAATTGCCTTTTAGGGTTTAATTTTTATGATTGTATTTAAGAAGAGTTATTGAGTCATTATATCCTTAGACTGTAACAGATTACACAGTACTTGAGCTGTGCTCCTATAAAGTCTGTTTTCTACAGTTATTTGCATATGGTGCACATACAAGGGTCAAAAGACAACTCACAGGAGTTGGTTCTCTGTTTTCACCATATATGTTCCAAGGATTACACTAAAGTTGCCAGGCTTGGTGACAAGTGTTGAGCCATCCACTGGCCCTAAAATCTTCTGATGAATGTTTTATATTTAATTTTCCTATGTATCATTATTCAGTGAAAAGAATGATACTATATAACTTTTTCAAAAACAATAATAACCATTCTTGTTTATAACAAATTAGCTATAACTCATAATTTTTATGAGGAATTCAATTTAGACCAGAGATTGATGACCCAAAGCATGTATTTTAGTAGGTAAGATTTTTATTTTAATATTTTTATTATTTGAACATCTCAAACATCTCCCATAACCACCTCCACTCTTCTCTCAAACACCTCCCAGATTCACCCCACCGCCCCATACCACCGACTTCTTACCCTTACTTAAAAAAAACCTATGGAATCTAGTTTGTGCTGCCCATGTGCTAATGGGTGTGGGCCAGCCAGTGGAGCTTGGTCAGCCTGTCCTGGGGCCACACTCTTAAACAAATCTGACTCACTCCCCTAGAAGCCATCAGCAGCCAATTCCTCTTCAGGCAAGGGTGGTGGGCTCACACTGGAGTGCTGACAGGCTTGATCTTATGCAGACAGCCAAAGCTGCTGTGATACCTTGAATGCCGTGGTCCTATTGTGTTCAATAGACACTGCTTCGCTCCAGTTCTCCCTGACCTCTGGCTCTTCAAGTCTCTCTGCCTCATCTTCAGCAGTGTCCCTGAGCCATACAGGAGAGGAGTGGTCCAGAGGTCCCATTTGTAGCTGAGCACTTTGCTCACTCAGAGTAGATTTTAAGTCAATTGTCTTGAATCTATAAAGATTATTTCAACACTATCAAAGTAAAAACTAAACTTTTTAAACCTTATGTGTTGTCAGCCTACCCTCTACAACAGATTCCTGAGTGAGTCAACTGATGGTCTGTTTGGGATTCACACTTTTTTATGTTTCAGTCCTTGCTTGACTGGCCAATAGCTTTTGGCCTAAGGCAACATATTCTGGCAGGATGTGACAGAGTGAAAATGTTCACCTAATGTCAAGGAAGCAAAGGAGAGAAGAAAAGAGGGTTCCATAATTCTCTTTTAATATGTCCCTAATGCTTCCAGTGCCTCCCACTCACCTTACCTCTAAAAATCTCAGCTGCTTCCAATAATGCCAAGCAGGGGCCAAGCTTCTAGAACACAAGACTTCTGGAGGACACTCAGAATATAATCCTTTGTTTTTTCTGTAATACTGGCAATAATATTTTCTGTCTTTGTACTAAATCTGTAAAAGAGCAGAACTTTGCTTTTCAGTTGAATTAAGAGGAAAAAAAACAAGTGACAGAAATACTAGTCCAATAACCACATTCAATCTTGTAATTGATAATGCTGTGTCATATATTTGGCATAGTTATGCACAGGGCCAGGGCCTAACAAAGACAAACAGTTAAAATTGGTGATTATCAGCATAACATTGCAATAATGATATATGCACAGCCTGGAAGGCTTGTCTAGCAAGTCCAGTAAAGAGGATGCTTGATTACTAACTGAGATTTGGATAAAACCAATATAATTAGTTCTCAACTTTATTTTTAAAAGTCAGTATGCATGTGTACATTGTGTGTGTGTGTGTACATGTATGTGTGTATGCGTTGATGTGTGCATGTGAATATACGTATGCATGTGTATTCATGTGTCTTCACATCTCCATCAAACAGTTCCGTAAGAGGAAAGAGGCAAAAATGCTCATTCACTAGGGTGGGCGAGTCTCCTATTCTGAAATATTCAATATGTAGTGAGTTCTCGGCTCGCTTTACCAGAGTGATAATCTTCTCAGACTCACAGAACTGAGCTTTGAAAACAAGTATCCTTTCCCAGTTTGGAGGCTTGTTTCCCCACAGCAGGCAGACTCATAAGCATGAGAATGTCTTCTCTGTATGTATAAACCACTGTTTTACTTATATGTAATACTTATTCAGGCATTAATAAAACATTTTGCTATTTGGATTCTCTAATTTTTTTTTTACTCTGTGTTTATGACATTATTCACAAAAATTAAATGCTTTTATTATGTTAATTTTATTGAACTACTTTTTTTTTTCTTTTAATTTTCTGTTTGGCTTTTGTTTTTAGGATGGACGTTTGAAGACAGGAGATCAACTTGTCTCAGTAAACAAGGAATCTATGATTGGTGTTTCTTTTGAAGAAGCAAAAAACATAATTACCAGAGCAAAGTTGAGGTAACAATTCTATCCCTATGGTAGGATGAGTCATTTAGCACAGACACACACACACACACACACACACACACACACACACACACACATATATATATATATATATATGGCGATTTAGGATGTCTTAAAGAAAGGCTTTTACTCTACTAGGACCACTACCTTTGAATTTACTTTATTGCACTTGTGCTGTAGCCACAAAGTGATTTCTTTTCATTGTAGGTCAGACTCTCCTTGGGAGATAGCATTTATCAGACAAAAATCTTACTGTGGCCATCCAGGAAATATTTGCTGTCCATCCCCATTACAAGGTTCAGAAGACTATGGACCTCAAACCTCAGCATTTCATCTTCTCTCCCCTCCCACTAAAACACTAGTTCCAAAGACTTCATCCACTCCCAAGAATCAGGACTCTACTTTACCTTCTTTTAAAGCAATTCAGGTAATCTTAAATTCCAGTTTATCTATTCAGTTCATAAGTCTCTTGTGTTTTTTATGTTGGTTGAGTCAACATAGAATTGAAATGTTATTAATGATGATTATTAATAAGTTAGTATTTCCATGAAAGACTTTTCCTTTTTAGTTTTTTATTACATAAAACATAGATTTTTCAAGCCAATGTACCTTTTTTTCAGCAACTAAGAACATGGTACCATAAAGATACAACTAGACATCATTCAAAATTATAATGCCGTGTTTAATTCTCTAACTGTTAGCTTCCACTTAATAGAAGATGGCTGTTCACCTATGGATGTACGTGTGTGCATAGGCTAATACTAATCATCCTGTCTATGGGTAGTGCTCTCCTTACCCTCACATGTATATCCTGTGAAATAGTTCATCTTACTTATTTGATTCCTAATAAATGGAGAATTAACATATCTAAAGTAATCTAATTGCTTTCAGTGTGCTACATTGTCTATTAAATCACAATTCTAAAGTAGAATATAGATTCTTTATATCTGTCTTGGGAATAAAATAAACAGGAAATAGATAGACTTTCAGTTATAGGTAACTTCTATTCAAGGCATATGGTGATCAGACAGATTGTTTTCTGTCAGACTATTTCTTTTAAAAGGCAAGGGCCATGGCCTTCTGTTCTGTGATCCTTAGACACTGTAGAGCTGAAAGCATTGTTACTTTCATCTTTGAAACATTTTCTTTGAAGATGAATATACCAAGTATTAGGAGATTCATATTTTTTGGAATATTACTTTGATCTTTTTAACCATTCTATTTATGTTAACATGAGCATCTAGTTTGGTCTTTGACCTACTTTAGAAAATGATGTATCATCTCTTTTATTTTTTTTCACAGACAATACCTGGATACAGTAAAACAGAACATACTCCAGTTACTCCTTTGGACAACAGCCCTACAGATACATCTACTCCAGGTAAAATTACACTTAATACCTATATTTTTCTTCAACCTTTCTTTCCCAATGATGTGCTAAAAATATTACTTAACAGACCTTAAAGAAGGGTACATTATGCTTTTTTTTTCCTTCAATGAATAAAAGAGCAAAATGAATGCATTGGTGCTTTCTGTTAACTTTTGACTTTTGCTGGAAATATGCTTGAACAAAGGGTTGAAATTTTAAGAAGTGTATTATAATAAATGCCTATGAAGCCGTAGTAAAGTACTTAAATTGTTGAAATCAAGTAATAGTCAAGATGCAATTAATTGTCCCTTTACTGAAATACCAATAGGATATACTACTGCATCTTTGAAAACACAGTATAGACAGAACAAAACTTAAGAAAAATGTTTGTTTGTTTGTTTGTTTGTTTGTTTTGAAAGATATTGTATGAATATAAATTAGAAAGGCCATCCATACTTACTTTGATATTGTATTTTTGAATTACCCTAAATGACTTAGTGATTTTAAAACAATCAAATCAAAAATATCTAAGCTACACATAGAAAATTATTTTTATGAAGCTATAAAGTTCTTATTGACTCAAAAATCAAGAAAAATAATTCCTCCACTGAAAATGGCTCTAAAAGTTAAAGTAGACAATTTTTAAACTGTATTTAATGTAACTAAAAGGCTAACTATATATTGTCAAATTACAATTCAGAGTGCAACCCACATGTATTAATTTTTAATACCATTATTTTTACTTAGAGTTGCAAAATAAAATGAACTAGGTTAGATTAAATAGCTACTAGACATGGACAAATAGTATTGTTTGGTGGTAGACCAAATGCTTACCAGGCATGAGGCCCTGTATTCAGTCCCCAGCACCAAAAAAAGGAAGAAAAAGAAAAGAAAAGAGCCACCATCAGACTTCACAGAGCAATGCAGCATTTATCATGTTTTCTCTGATTGAAAGGAGTATTTTCCAATGGGTTAGCAATTTTCAGCCAGAAAATATATACCTTTTAATTACTGAGGTGTAGTGATTCTTGGAAATACTATTAATTAGTATTCCTTTCACGTAATTAACATCCAGTCTCTTGGTAGACTGTTTTTATTTTAAATTGAGAACTCACATGAAAAGAAGACAGATGAGTAAAGCAGATAATAATCCAAGAGGTTAGGGTTGCTCCATGATGAAAGTCAGGGTCCTTTATTCTTTGATTATATTGTAAAGCACTCTGGAAGATCCTAATCCTTCATCCTGGTTTCTTAACTCAGTGACCTTGAGACTGTTGTCTAAAGGGGAAGTCACAGATTAAGTATAATGCAAGTGAAGTGCTTACTATTATGACTGGTCCATGACATTTGCTCATCAGTATTTTTATTATTAATCATATGTGCAGAAACATAAGGTAGCATATAGCCAGATAACATTCCAGAGCACAAGCATGGCTTTAGAACACCAGTGAGAGCTTCTTACACATGAGTCAATTTTATGACCTTCCTTCAACCTCCAAAACTATGATATAGCAAAGGACCATCACAGTATACAAAAACAATTAAAAAAACATTAGCATCTCAAAATCAGACATCATCTAAATCTTAAGGAAGCAGGCAGAAGACCATACTAATTTAAGGAGGCACCATGAGCCAGAGCATAGAACTCAGATAAGTGAGGCGCCAGAAGACACTAAGAGGCAGGTCTGATGACAGCATAGGTCTTGCAATCTTGCAATAGTAAGTAAAGGGAGATTTGTACCAATGATTGTAAGAAATTTGCTTTATTTTGGAACCAGAAAATAGTTAATGAAAAATATATTTGAGCAAGTCATTATTAAAATATTAACGTAAAATATTCTTCTAGCATTAACTCAGATCCACTTTTTATTTCTAGATAAATATGGTAGTCAAGATATTAAATGGGGTATTACACAGGATAGGGAGTAGAAAAAGCCTCAAAACTGACTTGAGATATCTTGCACGTGTTATGATTTCTCTGTTGTAAGTGAATCAGCATAGTTTTTATCCATGTTAGCTCCTTACATATCAGCTTCCAGACCTCCTTTAGTCAGTTAGCATTCACATTAGTTTTTTTTACTAGGGTGACCAATACCTGACAAAGGCAACTTAAGGGAGAAAAGACTATTTGGGCTCACAGTTCAGGGGGAATCATGAATCCATTGTGGTAGGAAAGGCATGGCTAAGAAACATGTGGAAGCATGTGGGAAGCTTCTCACGGTTACCCTACCAGGTTCCATGCAGGACTGAAATCAGAAGTGAGCATGAACCATCAAACACCCAGCCCTCCCAGCTTACCTCCACAAACTGGGTCCCACATACCATTGTCTTTATAACTCCCAAAACCTCCCCAAATAATCTAGTAGCTAAGGGCTAAGTATTTATATTATAAGCCCACTGGGATATTTTATATTCAAACCATTGAGGAATTTATTTTTAAAATGTAAACAAGTTTTAATATTAACCCCAACAAAAATGAACATAAGATACTCTGTTTTTATGTCAGTTATTTGCTAGTGTAAAATCGCCTAACATTTTTAAGATCAGCATTATACATTAATATATTTAAAAATTATTGGTCCATGATATAAATTAATCTGAGAATTCAGAATAATTTACTGTGGCAGTAAGTTGGACAATATAATAGTTTGAGTGAACTACAAGTAAACTGAAGATGTTCCTAAGGGAATAAGTATTATTATGTTTGAAGTGTGGCAAGACTTAATTCTTTTATCTCAGTCTTTTAAAACTCCAACAATACTGATAGAGAAAAGTACCTTCCAAGGCTTTATGGAATTAATTTTAAAGTGTTGATCATATTCTTACAAAATTTTTTCTTTCTTTTTATTCTAAAAAGAAAAGAAATAGAGATCCTAAGAATGATAAAGTCTTTTCCTAGAGAGAAGCGAAGGGAAGGTTGAGGCAGTTTAAAGAAAGAGGGAGTCCCTAGCAATTGAGGTTAAACTTCAGTTATTCATGCTCAGTTAGCCTTGACTGAAACCATAGATAGGTTAGCTTGGGTCCACAGATAGGTTAGCTTAGGGTAGTGACCCTTAACTGTAGGTCACTGTAGGTCAGCCACCAACCTGAAAACAGGTCTCAAGATGAAACCCTGAAGTTGAAAAATGGAGTTTTCTTACCTGTCTTTGGACTTTCACTCCATTTCAGCCCATGATAATCTTTTCTACCACACTGTAAGTTTTATATAGAGTTACTCTTAATTGATAAAAGCAGCAATTTAATATTTTATAACCTCATGACCAACAATTAGATGTCATGATAACAAAAGAGTTTTTCTTGTTGTTACCAGAATTGTAAAATTTCTGTCACAGTAAAAATCAACCCTTTTTGAGGTTTAATTCCATTTGGAGCTAAAAGTCAGTGACAATTTTTTTATATATATACTCTTAACACCTATAAGCTATATTAAAGATTTTGCATAGAATGTTGAGGATGTGTTAAAGGTTTAGAGGAAGACTCTTTATTTTCATATGTGCTTCTTATGTTCTTAAAGAGAATGCAAATCATTTTGTACTTAGAGACAGATGCTCTGAGAAATTAAAAAAAAATTAAAACACTGCATAAAGATGTGACATTTCAAAAAGTTTTTTCTCTTCCTCTTGTTTCTATGTAGAACTAGTAAAATACCATTTAAGAGTGTATTTAGAACAGTGACAACTTAGATAGGAAGGATTGACACAAATTGTAGAAATTTGTCTCTAAAACTGTGGCATATTAAATTGTTTCTCAAGGGCTGGCCTCTTGTTGCACCTAATTTCACATTCCTAAAAACAGGACAAAAAGCATATCTGCATAATTAAGCTGTATTAAAAACATACAGGGAAATGAGTGAGGACTAGCTTTCCTTTAACTCTTAAAAGTCCATTTTTGCTGCTAAAAGTCCGGTCCTTCTGTAAAAGGAACAGGATTTTTAGCCTAGAAACTTCCTTGTCCACATTGTCCTTCAGTGCATGTTAGAAGCTGCACTTAGAGTTTTCTAGAATACTTCCACAGTTCCCTCAGCAAGACTGTCTTTTCCAGTCAAGGAAATACCATGGTCTTTCTGATTCTCAAATATGATTTTTCTTTCTTGAACAGAGTTTTTTTTTGTTTGTTTGTTTTGGGTTTTTTTGATGCTGTTTGTTTGGATTTTTTTTTAATCTTACAGTTCCAAGGGCACTGTGATGAGGACCATAAGGGGCTAGGTATCTGTCTTTAAGTTAATGTTTCCGTGAGACTTCATAGTGCATAATTGACTATGCTGCATATTATATCCTTCAGAGCTCAAGTAAAGCTGATTTATGTGATAGGTTTTAGACTTAAAGGGGAAAAAAATCGTAAAAACAAAAGTAAGACCTGCCAACTGTTTAACCAGAATTACTTTTGAACAGCAGGAGCCCAGAACACATCTTGTCAAATGAAAAGTTCTATAACAATTAGATTTCTAATTAATGTATACCCTGTTGTCTCCTAGATATTGCTCCTGCTTGGACTGATGATGATTCTGGACCACAAGGAAAGAAGATTTCCCTAAATCCTTCTGTTCGCCTTAAGGCAGAGAAACTGGAAATGGTAAATCCCTTAAAATCATTTTCTCCACAAAACAGTAGGAAAGAGCTGTGTCATTCTTGGAGAGGAGAACGTTGTAGAGCCATGGGTTTCTTGGAGTCGCTAATTTAATTAAATGAATGAAGCCATCTTAGAAGTACTCTCTACTGAAAGAAAGAAAAAACAAAAAGCCTTGCTCAGGTTGTCTTGTAGGCAAGTTTGTAGGGCATTTTCTTGATAAATAATTGACATGGGAGGGCCTAGCCTACATAGATAGTGCCCACCCTGGGTAATTGGCCCTGGGTTATATAAGAAAGCAAGGCGAGCAAGCCATGAGCAGCAAGTCAATAAGTAGCACCCCTCCGTGGCCTCTGTTTTAGTTCCTGCTTCCAGATTCCTTCCTGGAGTTTGTGCCCTGACTTCCCTCAGTGATAGTCTGACCTGAGACTTGTAAGCTGGGATAAAGTCTTCCTTCCTGAGTTGCTTTTGGTCATCGTGTTTACAAGAGCAATGGAAAACTTTCACTAAGACACCAGCTTAGCCTGTTTGGCAAGCTCTAAACTAATAAGATATCCTGACTCAAAAAACAAGCTGGGAGGTAAGGTTACCGAGGAATAAGCTGATATTGTCCTCTGGAGTCCATGCATGGATGTGTATCCATACATGCGTACCCACATACACACACAAAGAAATACATGTTAGCTTACAAGATGCCATCAGAATTAGTAGCCTTCTTACACTGCAGCAGTATGTGCAAGGAAGTAATGCAGCATTGTTCGCTATTTTAAAAAATAAAGGATTACTAAATCATGAAGAACACAATCATCAGGTCCACATGAAATGCAAAGAGATTACTGCATTACACTAGGGCACTAACAGACAATCCTAGGAAGAGTAAAACACTGAGAACATTATGTGCAAGAAACAGAAGATGATTAAAACAGAAAAATTAAAGGTGAAATGTACTTTAAAATGGTGAGGTGATTGAGGAGCTGAGGAAAAAACTGTACCACATCTGGATACAGTGCAAGAACTCAACACTGCCTTCTCGTGATAATTATAGACAATGACTTTCATGTTTGTAGAAGAATATGAAATTGCATAGCTAGAATAAATACCTTATAATTAGAATAAACATCATAATTATTCTAATCTCTCTCCTTTTGCTTAGTTCCAAGTAGTACCTTTCTCATCACCAATTTAAATCTTACTGTTGTTTAAACGATGATCAAATCTACCTCTTTTCTCAGAATTTTCTGACTATGATAGTTTACATATTTGTAACACTGTCATGTTGTATTGCCTTGTAATCTTTTTCTGTACCCTGTTTTATTGGTAAGATTGGATATTTCTTCACCCGTAGTACCTACCGGTGTTTTCTGTTTTGTTTTGTTTTTTGCTTTGTTTTTGCCATATAGAAGAGAACATACATCTTTTTTCAGCCGTTGCTGGTTTCCAGGAAGAAGCACCCGTAAACAAAAGACAGTTCAACAAAAGGAAACATTGGGTTTTGCTTCTCCCAGAAGCCTTCAGCAATGAAAACCCAAATAAGCGAGGCAACCTGTGTACATTTATTAGACTAGTTTTAGAAAAGAGAGTGGCCAGTGGCCAGTGTTGTAGAAGGATGGCTAGGCAATGGGGAGAGGTGTGACCTAATAGTAAGAGAAGGGGGAACTTCAAAAGGCTGCTTCAGTTAACAGTGTACTGTTAGAACAATTATAAAAAGCATACAATAGATAGAAAATATACAGCATGGTAAGCTGTGATACATTTTATATACAGATAACTTTTAAACACAGAACACCATATAGAGTAAAATGTATAAAAATATGTAATGGATTTGAGTTTATACCATATTCAGAGGAAAAAATTCTGGAAAAGCACACAAATTGTTAATAATGATTGTTCCCATAGCAGTGATTCTCCACATCAAAAGTATAATTTTCCTCTTCAGAGGACACTTGGCAATTGTCAATAGTGGTTGTCAATAGTGAAGACCATACCCAGATTCCCAACCAGGACTAAAATTTACATCCTAAAACTCTGTGTCCTAAAATTTAAATAATATTTCAAATAACTTATAATTCAACTTTTGCTAGCAAACATTAAAAAATATATCTCATTTTAGTTATTAACCAGAGGACTTCAAATTAACAACATATTTGATTTCTGATATGACAAAATGAAGATATGAAAACAAATTTTGTTAAGGATTTAGAAAGCCAGGATTGTGTGTATGTTGCTGGCATGTGTAAATGAGTACACACTGAAGAACAGTTCAGCAGTAGGAAAGTTGGTAACTTGCCCTGTGGCCTGCCATCTCCTCTTACACACATTATATAGTAGAAAAATTTACCTGCATCTATAGAAGGAGAGATGTATAGTGTTTTATAGTAAAAAATGGTGCTCTATCCCTCAGATATGGATGATAAATTACAATTTATCCATTCCATGAAATACCACAAAGTACGTAAACTACATATGTAAGCAGTATTGAACAATTGTGAAATCATTAGGTTAAGATAAAATTAATGTATAGTTATTATTTTAGGTTAAACTATTTGTGTAAAATTTTAAAAGCACAAATTAACGTGTATATCATTTAGGAGACATGTTTTTACATACTAAGCAACATTAAAGAACAGACAAGAAAGTAGTGACCTTAGGATAGCATTTACTGTGAAGAACAATAGAGGAAGTTTTCAACTCAATTTATAGTTTTATTTCTTGAAAACACGAGTAGATTTTAAACAAATATCATTGAATATTTTAAGATAGCCAAGTAGTTAGGCGTCCTTTGTGTTTTTTTTTTAATTGTGATTTTTTTTAATATGAAAATATACAAACACTAAAATTGTTCTTGAATGTTATGTAAACAGTACTTAGGGCTTTGATAGGATAGAAGGACGGTAGTAGACCCACCTTAAAAACACTTGAAGAATCTTTCCTGACACTCTGCCTTCTTCCCGGTATCTTTGCACTGTGTCCAGTCAGGTGCGTGCCTGTGTGATAAACAAATGCTTTAATGCTTTCAGTGGTGATGTGTCCTCTGTACACTTGCATTAAATAAAATACTGTACTTATTGTAATCATTTACACATTATTCTCACCCTAAAGACCATAAGAATTTTGAGGCTAGAGACTGTATGTTATTTGTTGATATCATTGCACAGAGGTATGTGTAAGCACCAAATAAGTATTTGGTTAAAGAAGTGGTGACTGTTTGAACATATTTCAAGTAGTGAAGATATTTGTCAAGGATAATTACCCTTAATTAATTTGGTTTACCATTTAGCCGTACTGTGACTGACGCCATGTGGACTCCAGCTGGAATCCACTGACAGGGCAGTAGTCAGTTCTTGTGCATTAAAATTAGTATGGGCCGTGTATACCTAGAGGATCCTAAAAAGGAGCGGTTTCCATGGAAATGTGATGTTCTTACCATAAAGAAGCCCAGAAGAAAACAACCAGAGAGAAGCACAGAAGCTCCAAGTATCAGATCCACATTCCAGCCTCTCAGATAGACTGCCTATTCCACCATCATTGTTGAGGCTCCCTGTTAGTCAAGGTGGCTGATCACCTCTTCTCCTTCCTTTCTCCCCTTTTATTAAGGCCAGGGGAGAAGCACTTCCTCTACTTTTGATAGGAGACTTCCTGCATGTTCTGTAGCACTTCTGAGTTGGCTGCCACATAGCCCCAGGACCTCATCAAGGGGCAAAGTGTATCTTAGCTGAAAATTATTGGTGGTTCTGTTTACGGCTAAAGAACATGGGAAGGACAGTGGAATACAAGTGAGAATTTCTACATTTTTATTTTAAAAGCAGATGTTACTTTACCCAAAGAGAAGAGCTGAACAGAGAAATGGGTGTCAGGGAAAACGTTCTTATTTTCTGTTTGTGTAAGTGTAGCCCTAAAGCAGCCACAATTAATAATATTTTCCATTTAACCCAATTCTATCAACTTCGTTTATGTTCTCAAGATAACAACCAATGCTTTTCATGAGGTTTTTTTTGGGGGGAGGGTGTTATCTATAAATTTGACTTCAGTAATTATTTTTTCTTCTGCAAAATCACATACACTATAACATAATTCTATTTCTGGTCCTACAGCTATATATGTAAATCTGGCATCAGCCAAGGTATGTGCCATGGTGGTGGGTGAGTGACAGATACAGGAAGGTAATTGTTTATAGGTGTTTAACCTGCAAACCTTCAACAGACTTACCATGGGATCTGATTCTGGTCACAGTTTCCCTAGATGATTTTGTTTTCCAAGATGATTTTGTTTTCCACTGCATTGTAAAATGTAGCTCTAGTGAAAAGTTTTACCCCAGTGGTTTGAAAATTGCTTCACATGAGTCCATTTCCTTCCAGGCTCTCAATTACCTTGGTATCCAGCCAACAAAGGAGCAACAGGAAGCCCTGAGACAGCAAGTCCAGGCCGACTCAAAGGGGACTGTGTCTTTCGGAGGTAGTGCCTTAAGTGCATCCTGTTGTATTATCACAGACAGTTGGTAGACATTATGGTGACCTGTTTTCATTGAAGAGAGCTTTTCCTTAGAGGGAGAATGAAAGTTTACACCATGCTACTTCATATTCCATAATTGGTGCTTTAAAAATGACTCTTGCTCCTAACCTGGCTGGGTCAGCAGAAGGGAGACCTTTGTCAGAACCCATCAGCTCTTAGTATCATTACTCGATCCCATTCTCGTTGCATGTTCTATTTAGTGCATAAATCTTGGTTTAATAATATGAAAAGAAATAGTAAAATATAGAAATTTCAGTTTCACTACTACAAAGATTACATCTACCTCCTTTTTTTAGCTAGCGGAATAGGAAGTTTTTGTCATACTGCATAATTATTCTTAGAGATGACATAATGCACCAAGGTTTCTACTCTTGGCATGTTGATGGTTTCTCAGGAGCTTTATTACACATCTATATTTATTATGGCTTTTATAAATATGCATTTATACTTTAAAATGTAGCAATTTCTTCTCTTTTTTAGTAGAATAAATCCCCCCAAGTGGTCTGGAATTTTAATACCTACCACTAAGAAGATATCTATCACTAAGTAGTTATTTTCTAAAACCTGTTGCTATTTGTCTATTCTACTCCATAGTAATATTTGAATATGATGGCTACTTTCTAGTCCTCATAACGTTTGTTCTGTAGTACACATAGTGAATGCAACATTGTATCATTATAAAACATCTCTATTAAAATAAAGAAATTCATCTTTTATTTTTGCAATGAGAAAAAAAGATATTTGGGGTTTCATCTTCTCTTGAAAATTACCCCCCCCAAATAATAGTAACAGGAAACAGAAATATACATACCACAACAACAACCTCCCCCCAAGTTTCTAAAGACAGAAGAGGGATGCAGAGAGAGCAATAAATATACCAGAGTACAGAAGCAGGAGAATCTGACATGTGAAGGTGGTGACCTCACAGGGCGAGGAAGCTGGTGTGAAGTACGAGGTATGACTGTAGGCTGGTTGACTCCGTGCATTAAAATCAGTTCTTAGAAATGTCTGATGCAGATAGTTTTCCATGCTGCTATTTTACCTTTCTCAAGCAGTATAGCACCTATTACGCCCTTACATTTCAATGGGAGGAAAGAGGTATATCTCATTGAGAAGTTAAACTAGAGATATTGTGTAACTATACATACTAGCAGCAAGGGAATTTGGGGACGTCTGTGGTGAGTCATTGCTTACAACATGTACCCAGATGCTCAGTGGCATTTGCATCCATGTTTATAATCATTGCAGGGTAGTTAAGGTGTGGTGTGTCTCTGAAGAATCTAAACAAAAATGTCAGCAGGCCTCCAGAGTGTTTTTTTCTACAATAAAATAATCCTGCTAGTTGACAAAGCAAATTATGCACACATAATTTCCAACCAGCTTTTCTAGTCCCTCATTAATTGTTAAATATAAACTCAAAATCAAAGGCTTCTGAACTTTGATAAGGTCATATAAAGTACAGAGCCTAAAAATATCAAACAGAAAAAAGAAAAGAAAAATGATAGATAACATTAGATAATGAAGATAACATTAGACAAACTAATATCCTTAGAAAGACAAGAAAGGATAATGTACCCATGAAGTCAGAACAGTAGTGTGTAGTCAGAACAGTGGACATTTGTAAGGCCCCTTTGAAAGTACAATGTAATAGCTACAATTACAACTCACTGAGGATACATAGAGGAGTGGGCCATAACAGTGTCTGAAAGCTATGGGCTGCTCTGATACTTGCCAAGTTGCCTTGGTAAATTTAGAAAGCCTGTCTCAGGTCTGATTTGCTCATCTGTAGAACAGAAAAAGACCTGCCTCAGAGGAGGATGAAGAACTCAGCACATACGGTGGTTACATAAACATTGACTGTTACTGTCATTGTCAACCCTTATATTCTTTCAGCCTGAAAAGTCATGTCATAATATTCCTTTTTTTTTTTTTTTCAGAACACTGTGTACATAATGTGAGAATTGGGGAATTAGATGCCTGTGTTATGTATTTACTTTATTGTATCTTAACTGAATTAACGTGACAAAGCTAACTGGAGTGAGATAAAAATGGTTCTCTATTATTTAAATGTGTATTATATTTACCTGTCACTTTGGTCAATACTGTTTTAGGATAACTTGTGTAAGATAACCTGAAGCTCATTATTTCAACTTCCAGAAATATTTGTTTAGATGAAATTAAATGCTATGTTCTTACCAAAACCTGTTCGTTTTTTTAGATTTTGTCCAGGTCGCCAGAAATTTGTTTAGCTTACAGTTGGGTGAAGCAAATGTTGGTGTCCGTGAAATCTCCAGCATCTTAGACTCACAGGTAGAGTATGCTGTCTCTCCAGCTGTTTTGACTGAACGAAGGGCACAAGTCTTGAGTGTTGTGGGTCATATACGATGCCCTTTCTCCAGTCTCCACTGGCTTTTGTTAATTCATTTTAAGTTGTTTAGTTATTACTTACGTAAATGTGTGTGCACGTAGGTGTGGGAGCTCATGTGAGTTGAGGTATGCATGCACACATTTGTTCGTATGTGGGAGGCCAGAAGTCAGCCTTGCTTGTCACTACTCAGAAGGTAAGCACTGCTTCGTTTAGACAGTTTCTCTCATTGGCCTTGGGCTCAAGTAGGCTAGACTTGCTGGCCAGCTAGCCCCAAAGATCTGCCTGTCTCTCCCTTCCCAGTGCTACCAGCCCTGGCTGATAGTTTTATATGTGTTCTAGTGATCAAGCTCAAGTCCTTAGGCTTGTATATCAAGCACTTTACACACTGAGCCATCTCACCATTCCCTAGACTGTTTTTTTTTTTAACATAGTATATAAATGTTTTTTTAAACATAGTATATACAAATGGGGATTTGACTTAGTAAGTAAATTACATGCTAACAAGCATAGAGACCCGAGCTTGGATCTCTGGTACTCACATAAGAAGGAGAACTTGAACACCTCTAATCACAGCCCTCAGTTGGCAGACAGGATCTCTAGAACCTTGCTGACCAATTGAGTAGACTTGATGAATTCAGTGAGCCCTGATCTCAAAACCATGCTGGGGAAAAGTTTTTCTGCCTCCTGTTTTCTCAGCACCACTCCCCACCCCCAATCTCCCCACCTCCACCCTATCTTGTCTTTCATCCCTCAGTTCAGTTGTATTGGCAGTTCGCCATGTGGGGGCATGCCTTATCATTAGTAAGCAACACGGAGTCACATGTGTGCCCTTTCTAGTCTGCCTGGACTCACACTAATATATGCATAGAAAAGTGCCTATAAGTTCATAACTTGTTAAATATTCAATCTGAACCATTCCCATGAAAAATAATGTTAAGGAAATACATAACATATCTAAACCCACAGGTAACTCCTCTGTGTGTGTTGCATTTCAGTTACTAGTGAATGAAATCCCTACTCTAAAAGATTACGACAACCATACTTGGGCTTTCTAAAACAAAACCTTGTTAAAAGCTTCTTACTTTTTCTCTGAAATATATTTTAAATGATTTTTGTCATGTTATTAAATATTTATGATACCTACTTTATTGGAATTATACTGCATTTATAGAATGGCTTGGTTATGAACTAAATTTGACTTTCTTTTATTTATATCATTGTTCTTGTTTTGAGAAAAGTGTGCCATGTTCTATGTGCATCTTAAATATTTCTATCAGTTTACCAAATATGCTATACTTTGTGATATTATTAGAAAAGAATTTTTGTTTTTTATCACTAGTTTTAATTTTACTAGTGTAACTTTTCTTACTATAATGAATTGCCTAAGACAGATTAGATTTATCTTGCTGCCAGTTCTACAGTCACAGATCAAAGGGCAGGATTGTAGAGTGAATGAACCTCTGAGAAAGGCCTATAGGACAGAGGCTATCACAAAGGGAGGAGTCTTAATGAGAATAAGTGAGCACGTTTTGAAAAGCCGAAAAGCAATGACCTTCACTAGGCTTTACCTTCTGAAGACCCTCCACCTCATCATTGCACACTGAGGACCAAGTCTTCAAAATATGAATCCTTCAGGAACGAAACACATCCAAACCACAGCCAGTTGCTTTTAAATGATAGTCTTATTGACAGGAGGTGTCAATACTGGTATTTATTCCATGTGTCTAGAGGTTCAGGGTCTGGATATATGATTAACTTGTAAAAACAAATCTGGTCTTATTTGAAGATTTACTCATACCATTTTTTAAACACTTCAAACCACTTTTTAAATTTTATATATATATATATATTATACATATGTATGCATGTATGTATGTATTAATGTACTTTTTTAACCACTGGTCATTTTACACTCATCACAGTCACCCAAAAACCTTGCTGTTCAGATACTCTAAGGACAGTACCTGGCTTTCTCAGAATGAAGACACAGATGTATTAGGAATCCTGTGGCATTTAGCAACAACTGAACTGTAGACCCACCATCTGCTGATACTGCCCTATGTAACGTTCCAGGCAGCTGTGTCTCTTACTGCTAAACAGTTCTCAAGGTTGATATGCCTACATGTCAAGCAGAGGCAGGGCTAGTCCTCGATGTGCCAGTGAAGTAAAGACCTGTATGAGCACGCAGGGCTTTTTGAGCAGCTGGAAAGCAATGCACATGCTCTGAATGAGTAATTTGTTTCCTACTCACCAGCAGGATTTTAGGGCAGATAAGAAAGAGTGTTGTCAATCTGCAGTACTTTGAAAGCAAAAGCACCATACTGATGGCAGTTGTGCAAGATGCTCTGCGTGCCAATAATTTCCTGTCGAGACTGTAGATCAAAATGTTGTGCAATAGTAATTATTAATGAAATTGTATTAGTTGCCTTCTGCTCATCATCACACAGAGGATTATTGTCAAGTGTGAGCTTTCCTTTTTAACTCCCATTGAATCCATAAGAATATATTTCTTCATCAGTCATATGTACAACGAAAGAAATCTCTCAAAGCACAGACTGAATTCTCATTTAATATTATTGAGTTCTATTTTATTAAAAATTCCATCTTGCAATTCATGAGTGAATAAAATACCACAATTTTAAAAGCATTATATAAATCACTGCTTATTAAGTAGCTTGCCAAAAACAAAGGGATCCAGTGATCCTTTATTCATATTCGAGGTATTGGAGTGAGCTTTTGATTTAAACAGAGCAATAATGGGGTCATAGGCAGGAAGTATGAAAAATTAAGTAGTCCTGGTCACCCACCCATTGGTGCCTGAGCTTTTCGACTACAAGGTGGTCCTTGGAAGTCATCAACACAGGAGACTGGTGCTATAAGATGATATACTTCAAAGAACAGGCTCTGTGTTGTAGATAGTTATTTTCATTCTGGGGTGGTCTGTCCTGTAGGTTGCTTGTTACTTGGGAGCACATTTAGTCACTTGTCTCCAGTCCCAATTCCCTGGACTGTAAGGCATTTTAAGAGGAAATATTAAGGACAGTGACTTGTCTCTATATTTTCAGCTTTGAGGGAGGTAATGTGATTTAGGTAGGCAAAGTAAAGAAGGAATCTGATCTAAAGTAAACATACAATGTAATGGAACAAAGAACAAACAAGCCAAATGTTTAAGCCTAAAAATGGGAATAGTATCAGGGGATAGAGCCCTCTTTCACGTTGTGAGTCTCCTAGAAAAAAGAATTTTAAAATGGAATCAGAAACCAAAGTCTGGGTCATTCTCACTGGCATTTGAGAGGGAAAACATTATGGCAAGTAAGTTGGAAATCTAAGTTGCCATTAGAAGGCAAGCAAGGTCCACCCAAAAAGCAATAATGCCTTTCTGCTAGGCTTTACCTCTTAAAGGAGTCAGAGGTCACTAGATTGGGGTGTGTGGGAGACTTAAGACAAAATGAAAATGGCATGAGAATTAGAAGCAGATATAGGATTCTAGCCAGTGTCTAGAGAAGGGAGATGGACTAGGGAACAAGAGAAAAAGTTACGGTTTCTGCATCAGAACTCAGAAGGTGAGCAGGCTTAGCAGTGAGGATTTGCAGGCAGCTGGTTGAAGAGGCGCTTATGGGGTATGTGAGTACACATCTCATGAAGAAGTTGCTATTCCTCTCATTTTTGTCATGCCTTCAACTGTAGGTTTCTGTCATCAGAGTACTGAGGTTGTAAAACAAGTTTTTGCCCCTCATTACAGGAGGCCTGGCCTTGGCTAGGCAGGAGCTTTTGCTGTCCACATCAAAGGAGGATATTGTCATCAAACTGACCAAACTACTTATGAAGAGGGTTACTGTCCAGAAACCATGCAATTTGCATCAGAAAATGTTAATAGGTTGTTATTCGTATGTCTCAAAGTGGATCTCCAAAACAGGGCATACTTGCTGTCAATATTAGGAAAACGTTTCCACCCATGGACCATACCATTTTACCACAGTGCTGACAGAGATATGCACATGTCGCCAATGGTGCTTGAAAAGCTGATGGCAACAAATGGCCTTTTTCGTTCCTTTCTCCCTACCAACCACCCCCTACAAGTCCTCCTTGAGGAGTAAGGCCCTTAATAATCATCGGAGGGAAGGTGGGGATGTTCAGTTCTTCATCTCTTGCTGAGTAGCACTTTAGATATTCCTACTCCTTACTAAATAAGAGTGGGCCACAGGAGCAGAACAGTAAAAGGCAGTCCATTCTCTATCCAAAGGTCCTGGCATCTGATTTTCTTTATCTGGGGCACTGACTGGATTCTCTGATGCATCATCACCCAATAGTTGGGTTTTTGGATTCTGGTGGGGGGCTTAGAAAACACAGATGCAATCAGATAGATTAACTACAAGAGCTGAAGTGATGGATCATGGGTCCACAAATTCATTTATGCATAAGTTTGCCACATAGGATGATCTGTCTGAGAAGATCTTCAATTCTCTTGTGGTCCACCAAACATGTGTAGCAGTATGAGACACAGGGTCTGTGTTATAAATAAAAGAATTTAAAGGTGAATTTAGAAGGAAGCTTGAAGATCTTTTTATTGGAGTTGAGAGAAAGCAACAGTCAAGACCAGCTGGGGATTTTGGCAGCTGCCAGAGGGAAGTGGGTAAAAGGATGAGAAAGGTAATGCTTCTGAATTAGAAGTCAGGAAAGCAGAGAGGTTCTGAGTGGAAGTCTGTGACAGCCTTAAGAGCGAATGTTGCTAGTGTTAGGGCAAGAAGGACTAGGATTTAGGATGGTGTCTAGAAAGGGGAGGAAAATAGAGAAGAAAAACTTGCAGTGAATTTCTGCTGCCAACTGTGTCCTAGTTTGTTGTTTCTTAATTGGTTGTTTTATTTGCGGGGGGGGGGGTTGTTTTGTTTTGTGTTTTGTTTGGCTTTGTGCGTTTTTTGTTTTGGGGGGTTTGTTTTGTTTTGTTTGTGTGTGTGTTTTTTGAGAAGCTCACATATAGTTCTGGCTGGCCCCAAATTCAGTATATAATCTAAGCTACCCTTGAGTTCCTGTTCCTATTGGCTCTGTCCCCAGGTGCTGGGATTATAGGCATGCCCTGTCACATATAAATGATGAGATTCAGTAATGATGAGTCTACAGCTTGTTGGATATCTGTCGTGTATTTCAGGTGAAATCACTACTCAAAAGTCTCTCATGTGATTTTCTGGGAAGTTCCCTGTGTTCAAATTATCTTGTTCTGTTGCTCTCTTTGTGGAGTTCCCATCCCCTCCAGCTCTTACTATTTCCCACTTCTTACATAAAATTCCATTCACTCTGCCCATCAGTTGGCCATCAGGCTCAGCATCTGCTTTGACAGTCTATACTGCAGAAGCTTTCAGAGGCCCTCTGTGGCAGGTTTCAAGGTTGTTTCCTGTTTTCTTCTGGCTTTCAGAGGCCCTCTGTAGCAGGTTCCTAGGTTGTTTCCTATTTTCTTTTTCTTCTGATGTCCATCCTCTTTGCCTTTCAGGATGGGGATTGAACATTTTAGTTAGGGTCCTCTCTTTTGCTTAGTTTGTTTAGATGTACAGATTTTAGTGGGTTTATTCTATGTTGTATGTTTATATGAGTGAGTATATACTATACTCCAACCAAGGACTATTCGTGGAGATGACCTGGAACCCCTGCACAGGTGTAGCCCATGGCAGTTCAGTGTCCAAGTGGGTTACATAGTAATGGGAAGAGGGACTGCCTCTGACATAATCTGATTGGCCTGCTCGTTGATCACTTCTCCCTGAGGGGGGAGCAGCCTTACCAGGCCACAGCAGAGGACAATGCAGCCACTTTTGATGAGAACTGATAGTCTAAGAACAGAAAGAAGAGGAGAACCTCCCCTATCAGTGGACTTGGGGAGTGGCATGCATGCAGAAAGGGGAGGGAGGGTGGGATAGGGAGGGGAGGAGGGAGGGGCTTATGGGGGGATACAAAATGAATAAAGTGTAATTAATAAAAAAAAAGAAAAAACTAAAAAAACAGGTAAATAAAAGTGCTTTGGAATAGATAGATAGACAGACAGACAGATAGATAGACAGATAGATAAAAAAAAAAAGTCTCTCATGTGGTTTGAGTCAGCTTCCATTCTTACCTGGACACGAGCCTCTGTTTTAGCCATCGTTCTTTCTCTTCATAACTAGGCTCACAGTGTGTGTGCTGTAACTTGCTCTTCCACTCATCATGTTCTCTGACTCAGATGTCTGGCCTGTCACCTTTTTAAAGAGGAATTGCTGACTCAGTATATGTTAGTCCTGCTTTTGTTTATTTGACAGTGAACTTTTGGATTGAGGAGACTGTGGCATTTAGAACCCAAAATACAAGTATCTTGCTGTGATTCTAGTCATTATTTCTCTACTAAAAACTTCACACGGTGTTACACCTGCTGCCAGTACAAGGTCATTCACAGACAAGACAAGTTGGTGCCCACATCCACCCCCAGCCCAACTCCAGACTAGGCAGCAGACTGTCATCCATTATAATATGACCCTGTATTAGTCTAAGCAAGTATCATGCATGGATTATCTTAAAACACCAGTGACCATGCTATCAATTTCCTGAAGGAGATTTTTCACAATTTAGGCTCAGTTTGGTGAATTGCAGCCACTATTTGAACAAATGACATAAAACTGAATGAAAATAACAAACTGAGTTGTATGTGATGAGACTAATATTTTGCTTTCACTGGGTCAGGATATAAATGATAATTCCCACTGAGTCTAAAAGTTTACTATCTTCTAAGGACCCATTTGTTTTATATTAGATACATATTGATGAAGTACAACGTTGGCGACGTTGTGTTAGGTGCCATGGCACATGCTGTAAATGAAGATAGATAAAATTTGCTTTGTAGAGCCATGCACACAAATAATTACAACTTTAAAAGTGTATTATATAGTAACATCAGATTAGTGGCATTATATGTTCCAAGGGAAGCAACTTTCAGGGGAGGTTTATAACAAAGTTAGCATTTGATTTAATTTGTAAAACAAAGGTTGAATTTAGTCTTCTTAAAGGTAACCAAGGAGTTTAGAGGGAAGTTGGGTGCAGTGGTGTATGGCTGTACTCCTAGTACTCAGGAGATTGAAGCAAGTTCATGACCAACCTGGGCTACAAAGTAAGATTCTGTCTCAACACCCCAGTGTCACCAACAAAAAAAAGATAAAATACGATTGTAAGCAGAAGGCAATCTTCAAAAACAAAAAGATAATTTTATGCAAACTTCCGGGAACCATCCCATTCCTCTCCTAGTTAAGATGTAAGAATAGAAAGCCACTAGATATAATGTGGAATTTCAGAACGCACATAAGGCACACACAGAAAAGGCAAGGTGGGTACCCACATCACATCCAGCACAATTCCAGACTTGGCAGCAGACTGTCCTCAGTATAGTATGATGCCATATCAGCCTAGGCAAGTCTCATGGACGGATTATCTCTACAGGAGAGAACTTTTCAAGACAGCTTGAGGCTGTAGACGTTGCTCTTGCCGAGAATCTGGGTTCACGTCTCAGCACCAACATGGGGTACCTATACCTCCAGTTCTGGAGGATCTGTTTCCCTCTTCTGGCCTCCAGAGACACTATACAGGTGCTACATACACAAACAAGCTCACACATGTACACATAAAATAAAAATATACATGTATACATTTAAAAAAATAAATGTTTATCTTTTAATAATATAAAGTGTAAGTAACATCAGTATAAGGTTAAGCTTAAGAGAGAAAATGTGTTGTACATTAGTTTCCTAATATCCAATCAAACAACTCAAAGTAAAACCTGAATTCCATCATGGAGCAAAGTTTGAGGGCAGTAAAAAAGGACTTTCTGTTCTCAAGGTTAGCATCTGATGCGTAACTTCTGTATTTTAATGTTGACAGCTTCTTCCCTGTGATTCTCTAGAAGCAGATGAAATGGGAAAACTTAGACAAGAAAGAGATGCTGCTCTGGAAGAAGGGAGTGTGCTTAAGGTAACCCATCTCCTTGGCATCCTTATATTTCCTTCCAAAAAGACATAATCCCATGGTGAATTCTCAAGTATTGAGGCTCATTTTTTTTTTTTAATGAAACTGTGTTAGTATCAAATAGGCTGGAACCATTTGTTTAATTGTCTTTAGAGAGTTATCCTTTAGGTCACCACTCACTGATTTTCACTCCGTGATAAGCACATAAGATCCAGTGTGTCCAGTGGGTTTTCCTCTCATGTCTGATCTGGCTCCTCTTATTCCTTTTGTCCTCTCATATTGGTGGCCACAGCAGGTGTAGCTGAGGAGCCAACAACTGAGCAAGCTGTGACAAATTTGAGTCCTCTGGTATTCATAGGAAAGGCATTTGTTTCCAGCTGCAGGGTCATGTCTGAGGTACGTTGTGTTTTGCTAACACAATTTGAAAAATGAAGGCACTGTGCTTTCAAGGGAGAACAAATCATATATGCTCCAAATACATGATAACATTTTGATTCTTTCTCTCTAGGGGCATTCTGTTCTTAATGGAATATTAAGTTAAATCCTGACTTTTACAATAATCCATTATATGATTCAAGGAAAGCAACATAACTACTTTATGACCACTTTATCATAAAAATACGCATTTTTAAATACTTTGTTAGTTGAAGTTCTCTAGTTATTTAATTTACTTTTATTGGTATAAATTCTTTATTCAAAAAAGAAATACCATTCTCTTTCTACTATTGTCTTATAATGCCAGTCTTTAGAGGAAGCCAACATTAAAAAATTTTAAGCATATCCTCTCAGAGTTTCTGAAGACAGTCCAAACAAATCACATTACTAAAAAGTGAATGTATATCTGTAAAGGTCAGAGACATATGGGAACTGCTGTACCTTCCTTAATATTTATCTATAACCCTAGAACTACTATAGGAAAGTGAATTCTTTAAGCAGTTTTTTAAAAAGTAAATGCATGTTAACTCATGCATAAATTAGTTCTTATAGACCTGCTTTTTTACAGCTGGGCTTCTATTTCCCATGATTCAAGCCAAATCCTGGGCAGTTTCTACCACAGGGCTCCCATGTCTTCCAAGGTAGAGATCTCCTCTACCAGCTGGGTCTCCTGAAGGGATTTTAGCTAATTCTCTGTTAATACACATTTAGTTATCTGTAGTTTTCAATTATCAAAACTAAGTCCAGGACCACAGAGGTGTCCCAGCAGTTGTGAGAGCTGAATTAGGTTCCCAGTGTCCTAATGTTCCAACCCTGGGGAATCAAACTCCATCTTCTGAGCTCACAGTAAACATACACACAGTAGATACGCACACATGAAAATGAAAGTAAATCTTCTAGTAACTTTGTAGCTGTGTGGGAAGGCAGTTGTGAAAGTTCACAGTGAATCTGTGAAAGTGGAATTGCAATATTCAAGTATACTAATGTAAAACATTCTGTATATTTCTCCCAATTTTCTTTCATAATTCTTTAGTAATTCATATTCCTTCTAGATATAAAAGAGCTTCTCAAAAATATGATTATATTTTATAACTCTGAAATCATCATCTTTCTATGAGTTGGTACACCTAAATAAAAATATAGAATTCATTTTATAAATTATTAATTTCTTCTTACTGTCTCAGAACAATACTGTATTGTTGGTCACATTGGTAAGACAATATTTTTCAATGTGATCCATCTTTACACAAAGTCCATGATGTCAGAGTTTCGGAGGTTCTTGGATAGTTTTCATTTCCCTAAAGTTTATCATTGTTAGATTTAATGGTATATTTTAAGTTTTATTTGAATGTCAATATTAATTGCTAGACTTTTAATTTAAAACTGTTTAAGTCATACTCATGTAACATTTAAACAAGTGTCCCCTGAGGAGCCATTCAGTCAAGAACACCGTTCAAGTTCATGAACTGTAGTTCAGCATATTTTAATGTTGCAAAACCTAAAGTCCCAGAATAAAAAATAAAAAATAAACCTTTAAATTTGCTTTCATTATTTTTTTTTCTCTGAGACCCATGTTTTTTTAAAGATCCATAAGGGCTGGAGAGGTGTCTTAGTGTTCACAGTGCTTGTTACTCATACAGAGAATCTGAGTTCTATTCCCAGGATGCACATCTGTAGTTCCAGTTCCAGGGAATCCAATGCCCTCTTCTGAGTGATCTATGCAGACACCAAGCACACATGTAGTGCACACATACATGCAGGTTAAACACTCAACACACCTAAAATAAAATGAATAAATGTAATTTTAAAATACAAAGTTGTATAAATAGCATATCAAGCAATAAATATTTTGCTTGAGGTAATTTTTGCATTTCCAGTTATTCTACCTGTTTTATTACAGGTATCTACACACAGAGAGAGACATGCACACATAGATATGCACACACGTTCAGACACACACACATAGACACACAAAGCAGCAGAGCTTATTAAATGAAGATCATAGAGTAGAAATGGTCTGCCACCACTCATCATCCTTTGACAGCTCTAGTCTTTGTGTCTCACTTGAGGTACAAATAAGTAATTTTAGGCTTCTGGCTAATTTTCATTTTATGGAAGTGATCCTTGTTAGTGTTATGGGAGTTATTTAACTCAAAGACTTTCACAGAATTCAGATTGTTCCTGCTTTTCACAGAAGATTAGAAATAGATGCATTTCCCATTTACAGGTGCAAAGAAAAACAGCACAACACCAAGAGTGAAAGTGTCTTGCAGAGCGTGAACACACAGAAGGGCCCACTCTCTAGGCTGCTGATCTTTGGCACAGTCATTAGTCAGCTCGTTATATTCACCTTCATTTACAGCTTTGATTCGCCTCCTAGACCAGAGGAGGCTGAATTCTTCCAAGGGTCAGGTTTGCCATGAATCTTCACCACCCTATTTAAGGTCCAAATAACCCTGTTCATGGTTTCAGTAAGATGGCTCCTGAGTCACTAAGCATTTCTGACTAGTCCAGTCACAAAGTGGGGCATCTCAGGGTACATGCTTGATTGACTCTTACCTTCAAAGATGTAATATTTTACCTTCATGTCCATGCTCAAATACATATTTCATATTTTGGCTATAATAGTTGTATGCTTTTGTGAATAACTTCAAAAATGGGCTAAAATTACATTAGGGAACTAAGAGTCGACCCAGTATTTCTATGGTATGATTAGAAGCTTTTTTATGTCTTTGCATAATAGCAAGATCATTCAGTCTGACAGCTCTTTGGTAATGGTAAAACTGTCACCCCAGATTTAGTTAAAGTTTACCCACTGCAGTCCTTCCTGACTTCTTCTGAATCTCAGAGTTTAACATCTTATAGAAGGTAACCAAGAATGTTTTCACCACAGTTATACTTAGGTAACTGCTTACTAGTAAAAGGATATGAAAAGCCAGAAAAATAACTAGGAATTGCATTTGGAGTTTTTAGCAATTTGGTGTTTGGGAAATAAACTTTGAAACAGAAGACTAGAAATCATACTTGGTGTCGCAATGACGTGTTATTCATCCAGTGGTTTTTAAATGCAGGAGAAATTACTTGAATCGGAGAAGCATAGGAAACAGCTGATGGAAGAGCTCCAGACTGTGAAACAAGTAAGTCCGTGTTGGGTGGGGGGTGTAGGGATGAGGGTGGTGCAGCGGGGAGGCACATGAGTCTACCCGTGCTCCTTGGTGTGTGAGGAGCAACTCTAAAGCAGCGATGCTTCATCATAGCTCAGAATTTGCTGCTGCAAACAGCACAGAAGGAAACTATAAAGCTCTTTACAATGACCATTTAGAGTTTATACCCACTGGAGTCCTGATCGATTATTTTCAAAAAGATTTTAAAACTCTGAAATGGCATCCATCAACTGAAATGACCATTCTCACTTTTCCATTCTCTTTCATTCATTTCCCCTTTCTGTTCTCTCTCTCTCTCTCTCTCTCTCTCTCTCTCTCTCTCTTTGTTATTTGTACCTCAAGAGTTTATTAAAGAAAAAAAAAACAAATACTTCTCCCTAAAACTACCACAGAGCATTGCTGTAGTAGTAAATAATTAAGAGTTTGTTTTCACTTTGCGTAGTCTTCACCAACTTGGAAGCAGATTAGAACAAGACAAATAGGCATATGGAAAGTAAAAGCAAAAGCAGTGAATATACTAAGAATAAGTACACAGTGTTAATAGAACCCTGTTGGAAATCAGTGGTGATTGCTAGATTCTGAATCCCCCTCCCACTGCTCTCACAGAAAGCACTAAATTGACCAAGAAACCAGAGCCATACATGACTCATAATCTCAACATGACAGTGACAGAGACCAGAACAAACCTCCAAAGTACATGTAAGTAGAGTAAATGATTTTCAAGATAAGTCCTGAAGCTGGCCTGCCACTGTAACCCAGGATACCTAGAACAGAGAAGGCTTGAAAGACTCCAAAAATCAACCCCAGAAAGAAAAACTGTAATAATCAATGCCAAAATCCTGGGCATCAGTCAGGACATGATGGCTCTCAGCCAGGATTCAGAAGCGTGTGCACTCAGAAGTAGCAACCTCTGAGAGTCGTTGCTTTTTGGGAAGAATCAGATAGATTAGAATTAGTAGAATACCTTGGGACCAGGCTGTGATGGAGAAGAACCCCCCCCAAAAAAAAAAAAAAAAACAAATGAAGGCTCTTACAAGAAAAGACATAATCAGTTTGCACACTTTTCACCCTGATACATCAAGGTGAAACATCACCAAATACATCATATTTGACCCATGATGCAGCTACACAGAAAAGGGTGCTTTTGACCTAAGACCTTTCTATGAAATAATTTTTTTAAACAGAAAAAAAAAAATTCCCATCTACAAAAATTCACGTGAATTAAAGATTCCTGCCTGATGAAAACGTGCACAGCAACTGAATAGCAAAGCAGAAGACAACTGTAATGTAACATTCCACACTCAACTGAATGTCCTCAATAAGTATTTGTAGCTAAAAGAAATAAGCCTCAAATCTGAAACGGAAAAAAAAAAAAAGACAAGACTAGGACCAGTGAGATGGCTTCTGGAGTAAAGGTTCTTGCTACCAGACATGACAGTTGCTAAAATTTAATAAAGAAATATAAATTGAAACTAAATTGCCAAGAATTATATGCAGGTGTAAAAGAAACAAGAAAATAAATTGTAGAATTTATTAAAGAAACCAGTCAGAAAAGAAACCACTAAAATTGAGAGCTACCATCCAAACAGACCACAGAACTGAAGACTTGTGTCTAAGGAGCAGCCTCTCAGAGAACCTAGCACCACCACGCATACATTCCGCAAAAGATGGTGGATTTTAGGGCCGAGAAGTAGGTTCAGTTACACCTGGAGCAACTCGGCAAAATAAGAAAGTGCTGAAGCTGACAGAGCCATACCATGAGGAGCTGCCTGACAGGGACTTCTGTGCCTGCCTCTGGATGAACCAGGACACCAAAGCATTAATCATTGTCATAAATGATGCACCACAGAATAATGATAGCCCATGAGCCCACAGCACATATAATTAGATTAGCTAATTGATGGGAGAGTGGAGCACTCTGGCTCCTGGTGATTGTGGAGTGCAGACTGGAAACAGCAGAGATGCTGCTAGATTTGGAAAGAAGCATTTTGAATGTTTTAGTAAGTATTGAATTAGGGACAAATTAAGATGCTAAATTTAGGAGGAATTTTAATGAACAAGATAACTACATAGTTATGTGGTTTAAGTTACTCTATAAACCACTACTAATTATAAGGGAGAAATAGTAATTATGCAGTGGAAAATTGAGAAAACAGTTGGATGCTAAAAGTTGTCCTCACCAATGAAGAAGTCATTGTCACTCCAAATGTGATGCCCTGAAAAGGTCACCTGTGTGCTGCTCTGACAAGAGTGTGTAGCCTGAGTCTAACCTTGGGAGGCATCTGATAAAATACTGGACATGAAGAGTTAAGTGATGGGAAATCTAAATAAACACCTGATCCTAGGCTGGATCCTGTGCTGGGGTAGGAGGAATAATGAAGAACTTTACTGGGTGATTTGACAGATCTGGAACACAGAAGGTAGATGAGATCAATGAAGATACTGAAACTCCTAAAGAACTTAGTTATAAGCGGTAATATCTGTATTAGGAATACTGTTGTACTTAAGAATAGAGGACTATGATATATGCAACTTACTCTCACATGGTTAAGAAACATGCATGTGTGTTACATACACATACATACATGTCTGAATATAGAAATTGAAAACATGTAGCGTCTTAGCAACAGCTTCTAAGTATCTGAACTTTGTAAGAATATCTTATGTTTCATTCATGATCATATTGACCAAAGGTTAAATCTGTGTGTTTGCTAAATCTGGGTGGATAAAACATTCTTCATATTATTCTTTCTTTTTGTTTAAAAATGCTTTATTTAGTTACTTAGTTATTGTGTATAAGTGTTTTTCTGCATGTACATATGTATACCACATGCATGCCTGTTGTTCAAGAAGGTCAGAAGAGGCCATGAATCCCTGAAATCTAGATTTATGGGTGGTTATGAGCTGTCATGTGGGTGGTGGAAACTGAACCTCGTTCCTCTGCAAGAGCAGCAAGTGCTCTTAGCCACTGAGACATCTTCCAACCCAATGTTATACTTGTAAAATTCTTTAATTCCTCAATAGTTCAGCCACGTTTTCAGGCTTTTGTTCTGAAATAGCCTTTCTTGTAGCCCAGGTTAGCTTCAAGCTCCTGACAGTTCTGCCTCAGACTCCAGAACTCTAGAGTTAGAGTTCGGACACCCACTTTTGTTTAAGTTTTTAATTAAAGTGTGTGGGGAAGGGGGTTAGACTTGGATCATCAGGCTTGGCCATGAGCATCTTTGCACACTAATCCCCCTCAGTGGCCCCTGGTCCTTATTTTATTAACTCTTTGGCTGCTGTGCCTTTTAAGTTCTTTTACTGCTATGTCTTCATATTTGTAAGTGATTGAAGAACAAATAAAAGACATGTTCCTCATGGTGCTATAGTAGACTCTTGCACCATGAAATAGAAGTGTAAAAGCCACTTACGTATTGCTAACTTTTGTAGTAGCAGAAAGAAACAATAAAATTAAATACATTTAATCTATTACATTCAAAATAGTTCGGCATACACCAATATTAAAATTTTATTAATGAAATATTTTATATTTTTGCACTGTATCTTCACAGTGGTATTACTTTTCATTTTAAGAACATCCGTATATTTTAAATTTTGATTGGCAATACTTGATCTGTGTTTAAATAAAATCAAATTTTATGTGAAAACATGGGTTCATGTGCCAGGTTACTTTAAAAGTTTCTTAGAACTGAATTAAATACCAAAGTTTCTTAATTTTTTGTATTCATGTTCATGAAACTAAGTTTTTTAAAACACTGTATTTTTTTCATAACTAACCTATATTCAGCAATTCCTTTAAACTAAGTGTTATAGCTTCATGTTCCAGGGAAATCACATATACTGATCATAGCTCTAAATGATCAGCCATCAAACGTATTTCAGTATCAGTGTAATTTTGCAACTGATTGATATAATACTTGTGAAGAACTATGATTTACCTGCCAATACATATAAGGAGAATGAATATAAGCTAATTGTAGTTTGTGTTGTTACCAACTTCAGTGCAGTTTTAAGTTTGTACTGTTTTCACACCTCACAAGTCAGGTCTCCTGTGAAGAGTTTCAAGTGAATTAGTTCATTCACATGCAGTGTGATATTAATGAGAAAAATGTAAATTGCAATGCCTTTTTTCTTTCTTTTTTTTTGGTTTTTTTTTTTTTTTTTTTTTTTTTTTTGCTTTTGATTACTGAGTAATGGGGCTGAAACTGTGCCCACAGCAGTTTTTATAGCATGAGCATAAGAAAGCTAAGCACAAGTTTGTGGGGTTTTACCATATGTATGTATCTTATGGTATAATGAAATAATAAAACTCTTGTTTAAAAACATCAATAAATTCAATGTCTTGCTCTAACAAAGCTGGAACACCATCTGCTTTAATAAACTGTTTTCCATTATCTAGCTGAAGTTTTTATTTTAAAAAATTCTAAACATTTGCAGTTTTCTTATGCAAAAAACTTACCATTTCATTAAAATTTGGAAATTCTTTGAGATAAATGTTTGTGAAATCTCAGTCAGATATTGTCTCTTCTTACATCATTTACCTGAAACTATAGAAAAGTAATTTGTTTGCATATTTTAACTCTATTGAATTAAAACATACATAATATATAAAACTTTTTATTACCTCAGCCATTCCTCAGTTACAAGGGTAACAAATGTGGGGCATCTACTTCTGAGTTAAGGACTAATCCTATTGATTCTTTAGTGATTGCTGAATGAAAACTTCCTGGCAAATTCAGTGTACACTTACAAAATATGTTTCACCATTGCTCAGTTTTTATATATTGAACTCCACATATTGCAAATTTGGTAAACCAAAACCAAAACCAACCAAACCAACAAAAACAACACAGCTGGGATGGCCATAGAGAGAACATACTACTGTTGTTTTGCTAAATGGACATCACATCAAACTGCCTGCTAATTACTTATACTTCAATACATGGATTGGTGCAGCTTTCAACCTCGGTTAT